GTGAAGATGCCAGTCACAAAGGCAAATCTATAGAGATTGAAAGTCCATTAGTGGTTGTCTGGGAATGGAAAGAATGGGAGTCTTGCGGGCTTATAGCTAACGGGAGTAGGGTTTCTTCTGGGGGTGATGAAGATGTGCTAAAATTGATTGTAGTAATGGTGGCAAATTCTTGGACTATACTAAAAGTCACTGAATTGTATGATATATGAATTATATCTAAATAAAGATTTTTTTTTGTTTTTTTTTGCAGTACTCGGGCCTCTCACTGTTGTGGTCTCTCCCGTTGCGGAGCACAGGCTCCGGACACGCAGACCCAGCGGCCATGGCCGACGGGCCCAACCGCTCCGCGGCATGTGGGATCCTCCCAGACCAGGGCACGAACCCATGTCCCCTGCATCGGCAGGCGGACTCTCAACCACCACGCCACCAGGGAAGCCCAAAATAAAGTTATTTTTAAAAAAGAAAGATGACATTTTTATAGCAGTTATCTCTGGATGGTGAGACTTAGAATTATCTACTTTTTTGTTCAATTTTCCACAAAGGGCAAGTATTACTTTTCTGATCAGTTAAGAAGAAAGTTATTTTTAAAAATTCTGTTAAAACAAGTGACAGCGGTATTCTCCTTTTCTACAAAGCTGACAAAGCTCACATCTCCTCAAGAGTCGAATACACACTAATGACAACTCCTCCGGGCCTGGCTTCTCAGTGTTTAATGTTCTCTCATGTACATTATCTCATGTGAGATTCACAACCTCTTTGTGCTGTAAACAAGGCAAATACCTATTTTCTTCCTGAACATATTTATATCCTGCTTCCTCCCTAAAAGGATTTCAGATAATTTACAAAAAATATATAGTTAATAAAAATAGAAAAAAGAAAACCAAGTCTGAAGAGAAATGGAGAATTTAGATATGCTAACCAAGAAGAGTCAGTAAGTTGCTATAAATGAGGTTTAAATTGAACTCTGAGCTTCCTGGCAGACTAGGCAAAAAGGAGAAGTTAGGGAAGAAGCAAACCATTTCCCCAAGGGGAGCTACATTTTTTCCTGGCACCGTTTGCTGGAAACATTTCTCATATGGGGATTTATTTTTGTAAAAAGATCTAATGGACCATGATCCAGGAATTCTACTCCTAGGTGTACACTCAAGAGATACTCTTAGATATCTACCAGGAATGCTCATAGCAGTTTTATTCATAATAACTAAAAACTGTAAACAACTCAAATATCCATCAAGAGTAGAGTGATAAACAACTGTAGTATATTCATACAAAGGAATACTATACCACCAGTGGAAAAGAACAAATTACTGATATAACCAAGATGGCTGAATCACATAACATGTGGAGTGAGCAAGCCAGATATAAAAGACTTTTATTTAAATGATGATCAAAAAACAGGTAAAACTAGTCGAGGATGATAGAAACCAAAACAGTGATTACCTGGGGGGCAGGGGGTGAGAGGTCAGGAAGATGAGGTAGGCGGGGTGGATTGATTGGGATGGGGCATGGCGGAGCCTTCAGGAATAATGGAATCTTGACCTATCTTGACCTAAAGCTGGTTGGTACATGGGGAAGATGTCTATTCAGATCCTCTGTCCATTTTTAAATGTTTGGGGTTTTTTTTGATGTTGAGTTGTATGAGTTCTTTGCATACTTTGGATATTAACCCCTTATCAGATATATCATTTGCAAATATCTTCTCCAATTCAGTAGGCAGCCTTTTCGTTTTGTTGATAGTTTCCTTCTCTGTGCAAAAGCTTTTTAGTTTGATGTGGTCCCATTTGTTTATTTTTGCTTTTATTTCCCTTGCCTGAAGAGACATATCCAAAAAAAATCGCTAAGACTGATGTCAAAGAACGTACTGCCTATGTTTTCTTCTAGGAGTTTTATGGTTCCAGGTCTTACATTTAAAAGAATAAAACTGGACTACTTTCTCACACCATATAGAAAAGTAAATTCAAAATGGATTAAAGACTTAAATATAAGAACTGAGATTATTTCATTTTTAAAAATGCATGTGGCAACCCACTAATTGTTTTCACCATCCACAGTGGGAAAAACACTGCTCTAACATGATTCATAAATTGTATGATTTACAATAGTAATTGATCATTATTGAACCCCTACTGTCTGTGAGTATTGGACTAAACGTGTTACATGCACTGTCTCATATGGGTTTCTCTAGGATCCAGTGAGGGGAATACTTTTATAATTTCTATTGTACAGATGAAGAAACGGAAGGTCAGAGAGGTTAAGTAACTGTCTCAAGGTCACACAGCCAGTGAGAATTTATAGGTGAGCATTAGCTCAAGTCTATTTAACTCAAATAACCTTGCCTCTCAGTTGGGCTTTTAGGAGGGTGTTAATTTCATTTTAAAGTTAGAAGATGGAAGATCAGGAAGGTTAAGTGCTTTGCTCAAAGATACACAGCTAGGAAGCTTCCAATTGGGGTTTGAATATAAATCTTGGGAATCCAGGCCCAGTACTCTTGCTGCCGCTATTAGCGGCTCACTTGGACAGCTTCAAAGGTCACTCTGAAACCTCTTAAATGACAAGTCTTCAGATGCCACGAAAAGCAAATGAGGGCAACTCCAAGACACATGGTGAAAATAGAACACATACAACAGACTCAGTCTCCTCTACCTCCCTCCTGCTCATGGGATAAAATAAAGCACTTTTTAAAAAGTCTTTCTATACACCAAAGTATTATCAGTGACAGCATGGTGGATACCCTCTTTTGATCTCTTGATACTTTTCTGTATTTTGCAAAATGAGAATGTATTTACTTTGATAAAGGGACGGTTTTTAAGTTATTCTAAAAGGAATCAGTCTGTCCTTCTTAACATCTAGCCTCCATAGCTCTATACCTCTAAAATTTTCCATGTCCTGGACTAATGAGAGACAAATCTGAAAATTGGCAAGAGACTTTAGCTGCTCAGATCCTAAATTTAGATCCTCACGGTGAATACCATGCATCAACAGGGTTGGACTGGCACTTATAGAGAGAAGGCGGGACAATTAGATGGGTGGGACCATTGCCCTTTAAACCAGGTTAACAGGCGTAAAGGAACATGTGCTTCACGCTCTCAGCAATTTAATCAGAGGTTGGGTCCTGATGGATTTCACATGAAACAAAACACCAACAGATTTCTCTGGAGCTTAACTCCATAAATAACATCTGTGCATTGCGGCATCGGAAGTGGGGAAGAGGAAGGACTCCCAAGCTGCCCAGTCTGCTACTTCCTTGCTGGGTGGCCCTGGGTATATTGTTCAACCTCTCTGTGCCTCAGTTTCTTCATCTATAAAATGGAGACCATACAGTACCTACTTCAAAGGGCTGCTGAGAAGACCAAGTTCCTACTAAAGATGTGCTTGGAACATTGCTTGCTTCATAGTAAGCACACAGGAATGTGAACAGTCCTTTTATTATTTTAGAAAAGATGGATAATATATTTCCTTTTATTTATTTGGTTAGTTGCTTGGAAACAGTTCTGTTTACCTTAGATTGACTTTGTCCATAGGGTGTTTACCAAGCTGGATGATTTGGGAAGGGTATTGTGTAACACAGATTCAGTCATTTAATCAACAAATGTTTCTTGAACATCTACCACATACATGCCAGGCACTGTGCTAGGAGTTGGGATAGAGCGGTGAACGACACAGAAAGGAAAAATCATCCAAGCTGCCACAGGAAGCTTCCATATTCTAGTGCAGTCACACAAACAATAAACAAAATAAATCATTAAAATCCTGGGCAATTCAAAAGAATTAAAAACTTAAATAATTATTAATCGGTGACTAAATACAATTAAATACATCACATAGTCAAAGACAATTTGTTAAGGAACTAACATAGCAATTACAACATAACAGATCTTCTACATGTAGCCACCGGAACAAACAGAGGACACGGGGCACCCAGCCATCCTGGAGCTGGCATTGTCCCAGATCCTCTATTGCAGCCAGGGTTGAAGGGCAATCACACATTTCTTTATTTCTCCAAAGCTGCAAAGAAGAATTGGCACTGACACCAAGTTCTTAATCCGTGCCCATGCATGTTGTAATAAAAGTTTGGAAGCAGTCAGTTCTTTTTTTTTTTTTTTAAAGATATTATATTCTTATTATGTAACTGCTACACTTCCACTTTTTTTAAAAAATTAATTAATTTATTTATTTTTGGCTGTGTTGGGTCTTCGTTTCTGTGTGAGGGCTTTCTCCAGTTGCAGCGAGCGTGGGTCACTCTTCATCGCGGTGCACGGGCCTCTCACTGTCGTGGCCTCTCTTGCTGCGGAGCACAGGCTCCAGACGCGCAGGCTCAGTAGCTGTGGCTCACGGGCTTAGTTGCTCCGCGGCACGTGGGATCTTCCCAGACCAGGGCTCGAACCCGTGTTCCCTGCATTGGCAGGCAGATTCTTAACCACTGCGCCACCAGGGAAGCCCAGTCAGTTCTTTTTAAATCACCCTGTAGATAACATGCTAGTTGGGGACAAGCAGGGCAGAGGGATGGGGGTCGGGGGGTCAGGGAGGGCACACTGAGAAGATGACATTAAGCAGAGCCTGATGGAGGTAAGGGAGCGATCCATGAGGTAATTTGGGGTCTGTGCCTTCATTGTTTTTCCTCCTAATTTTTTTTATTGTGGTAAAATACACAACACATAAAATTTACCATCTTAACCATTTTAAAGTGCACAATTCAGCGGTATTAAGTACATTCATATTGTGCAACCATCACCACCATCCATCTCTAGAACTCTTTTCATCTCGCAAAACAGAAACTCTGTACCCATTAAACAAGAACTCCCCATTCTCCCCTCCTCCCAGCCCGTGGCAACCACCATATTCTAAGTATCTCATTTAAGTGGAATCATACAGTATTTGCCTTTTTGTGACTGGCTTATTTCACTCAGCATAATGTCCTCAAGGTTCATCCACATTATGGCATGTGTCAGAACTTCCTTCTTAAGGCTGAATAATATTCTATTGTATGGACATACCACATATTTCTTATCTATTCATCCACTGATAGACACTTGGGTTACTTCTACCTTTTGGCTACCATGAATAATGCTACCATTAACATATGTATACAAACATCTCATTGAGTCTCTGCTCTCTTTCTTGTATTTACCCCAAAGTGGGATTGCTGGATCATATGGTAATTCCAATAAAAATTTATTAAGGAACCGCTTTATCTGCATCATTTTACATTCCCACTAACAATGCATAATGGGTCCAATTCTTCCACATCCTCACCAATACTTGTTATTTTCTATTTTTTGATAGTATCCATCTTTATGGATGTGAGGTAGTCTGTGCCTTCATTTTTATTTTATGTAACAGATTTATGAAAATATAAATCACATACCATACAATTCACTCATTTAAAGTATGCAATTCAATGGTTTTTAGTATATTCACAGACAGGTTCAACCGTCACCACGATCAATTTTACAACATCTTCATTATCGCCCAAAGAATCCCCATACCTTTTAGCTATCACCACCATTCCCTCAGCCTCCTGGCCCTAGGCAAGCACTAATCTACTTTCTATCTCTATAGACTTTCCTATTGGGGACACTTCACATAAATGGAATCATACAATATGTGGTCTTTTGTGTCTGTCTTCTTGCACTTAGCAAGCTTTCAAGTTTTTCAGTTTTCAAGGTTCGTCCACGTTCGAGCATGTATCAGTCCTTCATTGCTTTTTATGGTGTGGCCTTCGTTTCTGCATTGAACTTCTGTTGCACTTTTGAGAGCATGGATTCCAGACCTCTCCCACAGCCTACCCATTCATGGACTGGTGGAAAGGAAGGGTGTGAGAACAGCAAGGCAGTACGATGTTGTGGAAAGTTGTAAATGTCCTCAGCTCTGCTCTTTAGCAGCTGTTGACCAAAACCAAGTGACCTAACCTCTGAGACAGTTTCCTCCCCTGAAAGATAGGGGTGGTAATAGTCTATGCTCATTCCATTTGTTGTGAAGATTAAAGATATAATAATATATTTAAGGTACGTGGTAGGCACTCATGAGGCTTTCATAAGGACCGTGGATCTGCAGACACCCAGGTGTGGCAGCTAAGGATAGAGGTAACGCTGTCCTGCAGGCTGCACACCATGGCAGGAGAGATTTCCCATCACCCTTCCTCTGTAAGCTCCATTTTCATTCAGAAAGTCACCCCTGGGTGTGACAGACCCAGGTGTGGTGATAGGAAAGCCCTCAATCTAGGAAATACGCTTCCCACTCCTCAAATATATGACCAAAGAGAAACTGCCTTTAAACATCCCTACTCTTCCCCCCAAAATTCTCCTAAAGTGCCAAATACCCAGGCTACCCTTCCCTCTTCTCCCCTCCCCAGTTACTCTCTGGCTCTCACTCTCTCACCCCACTCTCTCCAGCAAAGCACAGAATGTTCCCCATCTACTGTTTTTGCCTTCGATCTTGAGACCAAACTCCCAAATCCAACAACCACCACCAAGACAAGAGCAATAGTTTTCCAAGGTTTGGATTTGCCCAACAATAGGCCTCTTTGCCCAGGAGGCAGGAGATTCTACAGCAAACACCTATCAGATTTCCTGTTTTATAGATTTCCTGGCTCACTTCTTCCACTTTTCAAAGAAGAGAGCAAGGCCCATCTAGCTGGTAAATTGCAGAGTTGGGCCAGGAACTCAGATCCCCTGAATTTTAATCCAGATGATATTGCATTAGTGAGAAGAACCCTTGCAAAGGAAGATTTTGAATCCAAAGCTATTACTGGAATCTTGCAGCTAATCCATAGTATCAGGATTTTGCTGATGTGGTTACACCAAATCCACTACTAAGAATAAACACATGTAATCCCTTTCTCTGGCCTCTGGCCTGACACATCCTTGTAAATTTCCCCCAGGGGATTCTAACCTGCATCCAGGAGTGAGAACCACTGCTGCAGGTAAATTACCTGGCGTACATTTTGTTTTTGTTTTTCTTGACAGTTTAAAAATATTACTAAAATCAGTCACCAGTATTGATCATTCACTTTGTGCCAAGGATCTATTTAATAGGATACATGGTATTTAATATTATTTAATCCTCACAGGAGCCCTCTGGGATGGCCCTTAACTGTCCCCACCACTGCACCACCAGGGAAGCCCCCCATATTCTTAATAACAATGTATATTAGCCATATGTTGAGCATTCACATTACTAATAATAGTTATTTAGTGATCACTTTGTTTTTTCAGCCAGACACTATTCCGGTTCATTTAATCCTTACAAAAACCCTATGGGGTGGTTACTAACATGACTGTTTCCATTTTATTGCCAAGCAAACTGAGTCACAGAGAGATTAAGCAACCACCACAAGGTCATACAGCTGATAAACGGGAAACTTAATCCAATCCGGTGCTGTGAGCCTTCCAGACATTTGTGGATTTACCTAAATCCTACAAAAGCATTCTGCTTTCTATAATGGCAAAGAAGGATGCCAAACAGTCAGATGATGGAATGAAACTAATGGTTGGAAGCATCTATTTACATAATCTTAAATTGGGGATTTGAACTTTGGGGGCAGACCAGTTCATAAAGGAAATCGTTTTTTATTTTACTTTTCATTTCGGTAGAATAGTAGGGGATCTTCGAGCATTTCAACAGAAGGCACATCCTAGTTGTGCACTTTTGCAACTTTTAAATGAAAAGATATGTATGGGACTTCCCGGTGGCGCAGTGGTTAAGAATCTGCCTGCCAATGCAGGGAACACGGGTTCGAGCCCTGGTCCGGGAAGATCCCACATGCCGCATAGCACCTAAGCCCATGCGCCACAACTACTAAGTCTGAGCTCTAGAGCCCGCGAGCCACAACTACTGAGCCTGCATGCCACAGCTACTGAAGCCCGTGCGCCTAGAGCCTGTGCTCTGCAAGGAGAAGCCACCGCAATGAGAAGCCCACACACCGCCACGAAGAGTAGCCCCAGCTCGCTGCAACTAGAGAAAGCCCGCGCACAGCAACAAAGACCCAGTTCAGCCTAAATAAATAAATAAAATAAAGATATGTATGAAAGTTGATGTCATCCTAACATCCCCACCCACTGGTGAGTCTTAAAAATAGAACTGATGAAAGTAATATCAAGGCATGAAGTCACTAGATATCTTTTAATCAAATTTTTATTTCTTCTGCAGGTTAAAATGGAGAAGGAACTAAAGTTTGGGGAGATATGAGAGAAAAAGTTAAAATGAAAATGACACCTTAGATTTCCAGAGAGTATATTTCTTCTTAAAGAGGCATGGTAATATCAAAGCAATGACCTCATTTAGAATTATCCCTGAGGCATAATCATTCTCATTTTAAAAGTAGGGAAAATGAAGCACAAAGATTACATCACCCATCAAAAGTTCCAAAGTGACTTGGTGGCATTAAGTATAAACTGGTGCAATGTTTTTGGATGACAGTATGGTGATCACTTTCTAAACTTAATATATTTATATCCTTTGACCCAGCAATTCCACTTCTAGGAATTTATCCTGTAGGAATACTTTCTATAAGTAAGCAAGAATATACCTACAGAATGTCTGTGGATGCATTATGCGTAATACAAGCCAAATATCCATTCATTGGGATTTGTTTTTAAAAAGTATGATACAGATCCATCATTTTTATGGAACCACAAAAATGAGATAGGTCTCTGTATATGTGGCATAAAGAGATGTCAATGATATATTGCCAAGTGAAGAGAAAAGCAAGTTACAGTATACTATATATAATGTGGTTCATGTTTATAAATATATGTGTGTGTATATATACTTATGTATTAATAGGCAGATGAAGAAACTCTATGAGCTGACATACTAAACAGTGGTTGTCTCTGGAAAATGTTACTGAAAATTTGCCCTTATATGATAGATTATGTTTGTTAGTCACAAAGGGTCACACTTAATGCCAGAACCCACCTCCTGAGCCGTCGGCTACAGTGTCCTCTGCACCTGGGTGCCCTCTTTTGGGGCCAAGCCCTTCACTGCTCCTCATCTGTAGATGGGCAGGGAGTTTGGAAGGAGGGAGAGAAAAACGTCCTCATCCTTATCCACTCACCCCTGGCTTCCTGCTCTGATGGAAATGTCTCCCAGAAACATGGTTATAGATCCTGCAGCCTTCGGATTGAGGACCCAGACTCTCCTACCCTCAACCCTCCCTTATTCCAGTGGCCTGTGGTCATTTCGGCTAGTGTGCAGGGCAGGAGGCATGGCCAGACGCTGCCCACTGTCCAGCCTGGGGCTCCTGGTACCCGGATGGGAAGCTTTGCAGGGGGTCAACGAGGCTTACTGGACCCACAGCTTAAGGTAACTGGACACCATGGCAGGAGATGACCAGAGGTTCCCTGGCATCAGGCAGACCTGGGTTCAAATCCCTGATCTCTGGCCTTCCTGGCTGGGTGACCTGTGTGAGTCAAGTAACCTCCCAGCTCCAGTTTCCTCATCTGTACAACGGAGAGAATATCTTCTCTCTGGGAGAGCAGGTATGAAGGCTACATGGAAACACAGGGCCTGGCACGCGGTACATGCTCGCTAACTCATGGCTACTCCTGAGCTCCGGACAGGCTTCTCTGCTCTAAGAGCTAAGTTCCAGCAGCATCCTAAGGTCACAAGCAGATGGTATGGCCAAGATAAGGTGCTTATTTTAAGAATATCCTTAAAACCCAATCCTAATAGTTAAGATTTGTCATTACAATCTAAACTTAAAATACTAGATTTAAAATCAAGGAAAGAAATTTCTCTGGTTTCTATCCCACCTCTACCCCAGGCTTTTATCTTTTCCCTCCAGAAGCAAATGCCCTTCTAAGAAACTCATTAAGGGAAAGGAAGATTGATGTTCACTATGTTACAGTGTCTTCTTTACGAGAGAAAAATCAGCTCCAGTAATTAGTGCTTCCAAGAAACTTTTTGAAATCTGAAGGCAATAAACAATGTAATGATCCTATTTCCTTCATTGCTATGGCTTCTAGGAAGCTCAGAACCACATTTCTATTTATTGTAGGAACATTTTTGAGGTTATTATTCACATTGCATAATGTATTAGGGAAGGGCCCAGTATTTCCTGAACAGCCGGACTGTCTTTTTCCTTATGGACACTATGAATTATGCAACAGGCCTTATTTCCCTCTTTACTTTGTCCCTAAGAAATCTCTAGCAAGTATAGGCCTTGGAGTAAGTATTTTGCTTACTGCATTCAATGGCTTTCTATTTTCTCTACTCTTAATTTTTCCTTAATCCAATTACCACATTTACCTAAAAATGTTATATTATATGTGTTTCTGTAAGCAGCTACAAACTACTCTTGGACTGAGGTAGGGAACAAACAGGTGAGCAAACAAAAGTAAACAATCTATCTCCTTTGACAGGTCAGCCTCCCCCACCCTTTTCTTTAAAATATCAAGAAGTGATAAAGTCATTCAAAGAGTATTTACACAAATATACAATATACACACACATTTAAAAATTGCAGTCTGATGTTGTGTATATATATATATATGTAATCTGATGTAGTATATATAATAAATGTAATCTGATGTTATGGGAACAGTTTCTATGTTTTCTTTCTCCTTACTCACACTAGATTTCCAAATAAAATATGAATAGTCAGTTACAAAGCACATTTGAAAACAATTACCAATTATATGAAGCTAAAAATATGCTATTAATCAAGAAGGGATTTTTGACCACATCTCAAAAATGGCTCTGGCATCTTCTTTTGGATTATATTAGCTGTAATTCTTGTCACACATGTTTTTAAAAATAATTCCTGCAACTGTCCCAATGGATAGAGACTTCAGGATAACTTCACACTGTTTCTGTCCTAGAGGAAAATCCTGTTCAGGACGGCCTCTGGCTCAGTGTAACATGAGACAGGCTATAAATGACCATGGTTCTACCCTGACAGCTGATGCTTCTCTCCCTCAGACCTCCTGT